CATGAGGAAGTTATTACGGTTTGCAGGAGGTGGCTGCCGAGATGCAGAGGGCAAGTCAAGGGTCGAGTGAGAAAAAAGAGTAGAATGTCGCGCGGGCCCGTTGGCACGCGGTCCTCTCGAAACCCTCTTGAAAAGTATCTCTCGATTGAGTGGATCGACGTAATTGGTTAATGACTGCGGACAATCCTCGATGGTTGGTTCTCGCGCGACACCAAACGTTTGCACCAAACGTTCTTTCTCCTTCTTACTTTCGTTCAAGTTTCGGGCGTCTGTTCCTTTGAAATTTTTCTACCAACCAAGAATGAAATAATCAAATATGTAAATACAAATAAATATACATATAAATATAATTTATACCTGATATTATATTTCTAGGGAACATAGTGAAATTGCACAGGTTTCTTTTGCCAAGAACGAATTTATGCACGCTAGTTCGAGCGTATAAAATTATAGCAGAAGCTAAAAAATTATCGATTTGAAATTGAAGATAAACGGAACAGAAGAAAACGCTCAAGTATATAGAAAATCGCGATACCGGATGCACGGGGAGCCACTTATCGACGCTCGTTGATCTTAATGACGATGTGTGCCGGTCGTCGCCCACCGATAGACGAACCGTGTCGCAACGATCAACGTTCCCCTGTTCTCCTCTCGCTCTTTCGCACGCCAGCTGATTTATCGACGTGCCCTCGAATTATATGCTGCAGCTCGACATCGCGCGGCTTTCACCGACGACGACGTCGTCGTCGTCGTCGTCGTCGTCGTTGTCGTATGCCTTTTGTCTACTCAACAGGATTTCGACACCGACCACGCCGATTGTTTTCGCTCCTAATCGCGTGTATCGATATGCGTAACGACGGCGCGATCCCTCGGTGTCGTATTATCGCGGTCGTAACTACTTCGCTGAGGAATGCACGCCGTCTGCAAAAATCGGGGACACGACGACATTGATTGATCGGTTACAAACGATCGGTTTTTTTTTTTTTTTTTTTTTTATTGAATTATTCATTGGAAAAGTCAATAATTTATTCACGTCCGGAACTGTCTCGCGTTGAAAGTTGCCAGGTTGCCAGTCGCGACAGTTGTTATAAGTCGAAATGTCGTCTCTTGGAGTCCCTCCAGAGACATCCCCCAACTTCCGGCTAACGTCGCGTCGTCGTAAATCTTCGAGTCTGCGGTGTAAAATTTCCCAGGATGCTCCGTTTTCCCCGTGGTGGTTTCGCGGCCTGTTCTAAACCGACCTGCGATTAACGTTTGCAATTTACGCGCGGAAGCCGCCTCGCCGTGCCGCGCGACGCGACGTGCACTCGCAATGATTTATACGCGTTCCGTCTTTGTACGTGACGCGTCGTTTACCACCCGCTCTCCGGCGAAGATTAATTAACCCCGTGGCGTTTCGGGGAGAAACGTGCTCCGCCTGGGGCGCTCTTCGTGGGGGCGGCGCGGGGATCGGGGCCGCCGGCTTCGGTTTCTTAATCCAATTTCGTGGTGCATTAATCTAATTATGCCTAGGCATATGCACGTGACGTGCAATTATGCCGACCGGTCGCACCGCTGGACCGCTTTCGTAATGCTACGGCGCCCGGACGTCGGAGGAGCTGTCGGGTCGGCAAGAAACTCGTCCGCGCGGAGTGCCCCAGAACTGTCGGGGAGATGATGTCTTAAAGATAGAATTTTCTCTCACAACTTGAAGTTAATTTATGTCTTGAGGAAAAATTCACTTGAGCCGTGAATGGAGAAAAATGAGGATTTTTATCTTAAAAAACGGAAATGTACACAAGTTAAAAAAAATTTGTTTCTATTTTTGGAATAACGGAACATTTAGATTTGTGAAGTTGACACTCCCGAATTTAAAAAAAAATCGATATCGCATTTAATTGTTCACGACTTATCTACGGTTTATTCATAAATAATAATTTTTGCCCATTCAGCGAATAAAAATTTAGAGATACGACCTTCACTACAGACCTAGAACATTTTAGAAATAAATTTTACTTTCACGAAATCTCAATATCTCACACTTAATTATGCTGGAATGTCTGAAATGTAAAAGATTTTGAATTATAAGAATTTCAGTTCAAAATTATAAATACATTCAAACTGAAAAATAAATTAAATCTATATTTTTCATACCGTTTGAGAATAAATTCTGCTTCAGTTACGATTAAATTCGAATCTTCTCTGAAAGGATATATAGAGAAGTATTAAGATATCTACTTCTAGCATTATCACACCCATCGCCGATCGTGAATGTTGATTCAATGGGCTGCCGGCGAAACTTTCGCTTCGACCCAGTAGTGAGTACCAAGTTTCACATTAATTACATCACTATTTTGCCAATTTTATAATAGGGACCGCTTGCACACCTATTAGATGTAACCGCGGAAGTTCACGCGCACGCTCGCGCTAAGAAAGTATTAGAAAGAAAGAGAGAGAAAGGAAGAAAGAAAGAAGTGAGGGGTGAACGAAGCAGTATGTCGAATAACTTCCTAGAGGCGCGCCTGTCACGAAGCCCCGGGTCATTGGTCACCTCGTTCTTATCTCGCACTGTCTACGGCCCATCTTGGAGGAGCTTATGCACGGCGTCGTTGCACGGTTTGCCGTAAACGGAATTAATCCATCTACCGCCTTCGTGATTATAGGAGCCGGTTTGAGCGTAGAAAAATGGTAAATTTATCTTTAGTAAAAAATTTTGGACAACAGTTATCTCATTATTGAACGGGATAGGATTTAATTATAATGAGTCTACGTGTGCGACACTCTGTGTCCAAAATTGTTTTATACATAATTCGATTTGTAAATATTATAATAAAAAAACTTTAAACTTGAAATCTATTTATTAACAGTATTATAATTACAATTTCATAACCATCTCATCCGCGATATTTTGCATTAATTATTGTGCAAAAATATATTAACTCGCGCGTAAATTAAAAGAATTGAATTATCCCACAATGTGATTGAAAAAGCGGTACTTTGAACTCAATTTATTTTAAACTGTTACTTTATAACACAATGAAAAAAATTTAATATAGTAGATAGGTGCAATCTCGTGAGTGCTCGTCTTCTACACAGACTTCTTCTGCCGCCTCGTGTTGGAATTTTCGCTTCGATGTGGAAAGCGATTGGTTCGCGAAATCGTTTAATCCAGACCACCAAGTTGATGCTCGGCGGGCGCCGAGTCACGATCGTTACTTTCTTCCGACGAGATCCTCTTTGGAGAAATCCGAAACAATCGTCGACACGCCCATCCCACGTACACCTATGCATGTTGCTTCGTTAACGGTAACGAGCAACAATGTTTCGTCGGGCGCATATAGATATTGTCTTAATGTAACGTAATAACCGTGAGGTATCCGCGAAGTTATGGATTACTCCGAGCGAGTCTCGTCAAAGTTGACACAATTATCTCGAAGTATGCGGATGATTATCTAAAAATGTTTCGGTAAGCTCTTATTAAAATTTCCCCGCGAGCTTTTGTTGCGACTTAATAGGTTTTTTTTTTCTCTCGAAATAAGAAATAGTATGTACAGTTTTAATGCGAGTTCAAACACAGGAAATTTATTTATTCATTTCCTACATTTTACATTTATCTCAATCTTGTAGATGCGATATGTTATTATTCGATCAGCTGTATCGCAAATTACGAAAGCCTCCGCACATAGAAGGCGTATAAACTCTTTACATTATTTTACGGATCATTGTGTGGTAATAGGAATTTACAGCGATCTTTTTGTCATTGTCTGCTGACATTTCCGTGTTGATCTAAACAACCGTGAAGCCGCTTATTCGTGATATCGTGGATCGCAACGCGACGATCAGGCTCACGATCGTTATTTCCCTCGGACGAGATTCTCTTTGGCGTAACAATCATAGACACACCCATCGTAAGCAAGCGCATCACGTCTTTATTTAGTAGATAACTCGCAACAAAATCTGTTCCGGGCTATACGGACATCGTGTTACCTCATAAATATCCAGTGTCCCATTATTATTGAATTATACATTCTTATCCAATCAATTCTTTGCACTATTTGCAAATCGAGATCACGATTTGATGGAAACATGACATTTCGCGAATTGAATACATTTTTGTTTTCTTTCCCGTTTAAATTACGACTGCATTACGACTGACATTTCACATAGCAGAAAACAACTACGATCTCATTATTTTTTTATGCCCTTATCTTGATATACTCGTACCAGTTTTGCTTCTCACGAAGTTTCCCCATGATCATTTACCATCCCCATTCCGGGAATGACGATCTTCGGGGAGTAACTGCGATGCAGAGACGCTGCCCGCTCTCCACTGATTACCTGCCATTCGTAATTTCGAGTGGTGACTGCCCTTGCTGCGGAAATTATGAAAACCGGTCTATAATTGGAACTTGACTAATGACAAGACGGGTCATTGCGTATATTATAGCTATGGATCGACATTAGCTCTCCGGACGCTTCACGGAACCGCAATAGCGCGCACTATGCTGCACGTGGGAAAGGATGCATTAAAAGTGCATCAAACACTTGGGTGGGGAAATGGCGAGCGGTGCCGAAAGGCAACCATTCGTCTGTCGAAATTAACATGGTAAAGGCGGGTGCCTTTCATACTTTCGAAATAGAGATTAGTCATATAAGCAGCAGCAGCAGCAGAAGCTTGAGGAGTAATTATTATTATCATCTATATTATTATCCAAGATTGAAGACAGATAGGGTGGAGCTAAATTACATAGATACTATACATTAAGGAAATATGTGCGTAAATATTCTCTTCTACAATTCTATTCTCATTTTTATTCCCGATTTTTAAATTTGTTAATCGCAACAAGAGAAAAAAATTTGCGAGAAGATGTTGAATAAATTAGGATTAGAGATTAAATCGCAATATATGTTTGACAAGCATTATGCCTACTTCGCATACGCACGCGTCTTCATTATCATACATACCTGAACAAGTACGTCAGGCGAAAGTATTTAAAGCGTGATCATTCTCCTGCTTGCAGATGGAGCATAGAGGCGTGCCGCGCGGGCAGCAGGAGCAGCAGTAGCGTTCGGCTATCGTCGGGGGCCTGATCGTCGGGCCCTGTCTCTCGGGCCCGATCTCGCGCGGGGGGACGCGGGGTCGCGGAGGCGCCGCGCCGCGCCGGCCGAGCGACCGCGATGGCCGCGACCGACGGTCAGATCGTCGTCGCGGCGGCACGCTGGGCCGAGGAGGCGACGTATCTGCGCGAGTTCGTCTCCAAGTATCGTCTGCCGGCTGTGATCAAGATCACGAAGGGCCAGTATGGCGGGCTGGGCGTGCCGACGCTACCGGCGCCCAGCTTGCAGAGCACCGCGCTGCTGATATCGGCCGGCCGTCGGCGTAAGATCGTGGCGCAGGCGGTGAAGATCAAGGAGGGCCGCCGGGTGGTCGGCGTGGGGCCCAGACTGGCGATACCGGACTCGTACGCGGGCTACTTCGAGATCCTGAGCGAGGAGGGTCGAGCGGTGCGCGGTATCGAGTCGGTGAGCGAGTTATCGCGAAGATGTCCGGAGGAGGGTGCCCTGGTGCGCGAGACCGTGCGCGGCATCGCCTGCCGCGTGGACAACGAGTCGGGTATCGTAGTGCCGGAGGGCACGAGAACCCTCGCGGCCGGCGAGACGATCGTTACCGCCGGTGAAGTGGCGCTACCCGGCCGCGGCCGGTTTCTGCGCTGCGTGGACTGTCGTGGCGACAGCGTTCTGCTCGGGATCGATCAACGCGGCCGCTTCAGCGCCCTAGCCCGCGAGGACAACATCAGCGGCGTGCACACCGCCAGGGCGCTACTCAGCAAACGTCTGCCGCTCACCGTGAGATTGGTGCACGGCCAGCCGCCGCGAGGACTGAAATCCTCGTCGCAGTTTGTGCCCGAGCTGAGGCTGCTGTCGACCTTCGAGGAGGAGCACGTGTTCGCGTTGCCGTTGCAGAGGGAAGGCGCGGCGGTTGCGCTGCCGCTCGCGGCGCCTCTCAAGCTGGTGAAGGCACGAAACGAGGAGGCGCTCAGGTCGATGCAGGAGTTCACGAGATTAGTGGAGCGCGCCAGCCGTTTGGTTGCCGATGTGGCTGATCGGGCGCACGTGTTGGACGGCCGTCTAGGCGAGAGCAAGCCTTCCAGGCAAACGAGGAGCGGGTCAGGCTTCCTCAGAAGACCATCGACAAATTCGGATCACGCACCGTTGAGCCACCATAGAAACGGCAGCACCGGCCATCATCATCATCATCATCATTATCACAGCAATGGACATCAGCCGTCCTCCGGTCACTCGGGGTACCGGGACGAGAACAGGGTACCACCGTCGTCGTCGGCCTGCACGGAGGAGTACGACGAAATCGATCAGATTTACGACTACGTGCGCGGCTTCGCGCCGTTGCCGAAGAGCGTCAGGTCGCCGTACGAGAGTCCTCTCGCCGCGGGCCAGGGGGGCTCGACTCCGCCTTTGACGCCGGTGACGGTGACGATCACGCCCTTGCTGGACGATCGACCGGAACCGCCGCCGATCGAGACGATACCGACAAAAAAGATCCAGGCGGAGAAGCGAACTAGGCGCGCGGTTAAGGAAGCGCCGCAGCCGCGGGTGGAGAAGCCGCCGCTGGCGAAACTTTACGTGAAGAACAGCGGCACTCAGCGCGGACGACCGCTAATGAGGCAGAAGAGCGCGTCGCCGTTGAAGGAAACGCCGCCGGGTTACAAGGGCGGCTCACCGCTCTTCAACATACGTTACAAGAGCCTGACGAATCTCCAACAGGCCATGGAGCTCGACGGCACGCTGGATTCCAGTCACTCGGGCGGAAGAACGTCGGGAGACTCTGGCGCGGGTGCCAAACTGCCAGAGAAAAGGTATGTACCTTTGCCGATGTTAATAAGTTATCGGAACGGATTTATTTATCGGATTTATGTGAACTTTCAAAAAGCGATTATTAATTTTTAAAACATTTTTAATTTTTTTTACATATCCCTTATTTTCTTATTAAATAAAAACTTAAACGGAAAAAATTTTTGAAATAAAACTTGTTTATCTTTTTTTGTTGTAAATTATTAAATAATTGGCTTTCATGATACAATATACTTTCTTTCTCACGATCACACACTTTTTTAAATTATATATTTATAGTATTTTGATTTTATCATCGGTACCAAAGCGGTCTCATATTATTTTTCATTATACTAATTTTTTTTCCATAATATCCATGAGCTTCTATCATGTTTTTTCAATGTTTCTTGAAATTCAGATCGAGACGTTTAAGCAGGCCACGATCATTGACGAATTTAGTCTGGGAGCTACGAGGTGGAAGCGGCCTCGGCTGCACGAGACCGGAAACTCCGCCACCCGTCACGACTGCACCGCTGCCACCGACTAAATGTGGACCACGTTTGGCTGTCACTGTCGTGGCACCCCGGCGTGTCGGCACGCTCTACCTCTAACTCGTGAGTATTTCTTAAAATTCTTTCGAAATCGTCAATTTTTTTTTTTTAAATAATATAAATATTTTAGGAATTAGGTGATTTGTAAACTTTTACAGTAAGATATATCTAGAGAAGGAGCAATTTGTGGATGTTATTTGCGAAAAAATACGTTGCGGGACCAAGATCAATTTCCGCTTTTGAGAAAAATTGCGACCAGTTCTGCTCTCGAATTGAAACATCGCGTGCACGACTATTTTCTCTTATGTCCTTCGCGCACGATCTTCGTTTCCCCTATTTCAGCCAGATGATACGCCGTCGAGCGAACGGCAAGACTATTTGTCGAACGGACATGCACGGCGCAATTAACTATATTGAGGGAATACCGGTTACGACGTAGTTACAGCATACTTTGTCCAGGAAGGAGAACTGAGGAGGACTGAATCGTTAAATTCACGGGTTCGACCCTGGATAGACAGGATGATCTTTTAACGGGGCATTTTACTGGGCGTTATAAAAGACGCGTAGCTCTCCGCTTCCCTATTGCCATAAGTTCTTATTCATTTAATCGCCCTCCCCCCCCTTTTCTCCCTCGGCGTTCGATAGTCATAACGACGTCTGGGAAATACACCTGTCCACATAGACGATGCAGGAAGTTCCGCGATTACGGCCAATTACAATCCACGGAGAAATCCATTCTTAGATGTAATCGATTTGCATGCGAGATACAAAGAGCATCTTAAACGTAACCGAATTGGAATACTCATTACGATTAGCAACGTTATAATTCTTTGTTTTTTTTTCCCCTTCGTCGTTTCCCGCATTGGTCTTCTTTTAATACTCTCGATACTTGAAACGTCGGATTTATTAACCAACCTAAAAATTTATTTTTTAAGATAGCGCTTTATATACGCTTTATGCGCTTTAACAAACTCTGTAATAATATGTGATCTTATAAAGTTTTCTAACTCTACAATGCGACTTTATTTCTGGCTTAATGTTAGCGAGGTTTTTACATGTAAATCGTTCGACGCGTTATAATAGATTCTAATGTCGTAAAAGGACATCGTCGAGTTAATATACGATACAGACGATATATCGCACGCGAACGAAGAGCGAGACGTCGGCGAGAAAGTAATCTCCGCGGACGATCGTCTCGCTCGTTTCTCCATTCGCTAATCCGTCGATGATAATCGACAGCGAGAGATTGAAAGCATTTCCTCATCACGGGTCCAGTTATGCATATACTCCGGGCGACGACGTGGCGTTTACGGGAGGAAGTCGAGAATCACAAAGCTTCCTGCCGCGCACATCCGCAATCCAGCGTCGGTATTCCCAAGCCGTGGAAATTAACGAGGTCTGTGCGGGTTAATTCGCTGTGGTCTAACTTCTCTCTCTCTCTCTCTCTCTCTCTCTCTCTCTCTCTCTCTCTCTCTCTCTCTCTCTCTCGTCCGGTGGCCTTATGCGGAACCAACGAATGCGTTACGTCCTCTCCGCCGGAGGAGACGGTCGTCGTTGGTAGGTTAGTCGAGAAGAAGAGAGAGAGAGAGAGGGAGGAGAGAGAGAGAGAGAGAGAGAGATGGAAGACGAGAGAAAAGAGGAGATAGTTCAACGGTGGACAGCCTCCGGGTATATAACGTCATCTTCGCTCGGTGCAGCGCTATAATAGACCCGGGTCGCTCCGCGGAGCCGCTCCGTGAGCGGAATTAAACGAGACCAGGTTCAACGGCTGGACAAACCGTGGGCTTCCGGTCTCATCGTGGCTCATCCTCCGCCCACCTACTCGATCGCCGTATTATGAAAATTATGATTGTGCGAACCGCGCGCGATTTTATCGATCGCCGTAGAAAGCGAACGGCTTCCGATAACGCAATCGACGACAATCAAGCATCCGGCAGAGCCGATCGCTTATAATCTAGCGGCGCAGGCTCACGTGGCTCGCAGGTGGATCGTCAATATCAACCTTTTTTCCGTAATTATTTAAAGCGCGTCATATTTCAACATTTTTTACATTTCGCTATCCGAGCAAGCAAAAATCCTAACGTAAGATATTAAAATCCGGTTTCGCCGGCGCGCCATAATTGTGATAATCATAATTTAAACCGATTCTCCGTTTCTTTCCCACCTTATAACCGTGACCATAACTTAGGCAGGGAAGAAAGATTTAGCTATTCGCGATTAGCAGACGCGCGAAAGTCGAACGGAACTGACCGGCGAAACCGGACTGCGAGTGGAAAGAAAGTCATACGTGGGAACCGCGCGACAATTTCGCAGTGGGAATAGTCGTAGTGTTTTCAGACTGGTTCGTGGGTCGCTCGCGTTACGTCTCTCACGGGGGAATTGAGATAAAATTCTGATCTCTCGCGAAGAGTGAATTTGCGGTTACCGCGGCGATATTATAGTTTCGGCGTCGCGAAAAAGCGCTTAGGATCACGCAGCTGTTATATTCTAAATTACTTCGCCACGTCCGCTTGTCACTTGCGGCTACCCGCAGCACCGTCACCGCGCCATTTTCGCGTATATTTTAATGCACGGTCGCGCCGCAAAATTGCCGGGTGTCTCCCCGAGAAACAAGGATGCCCGTCGGATAATAACCGTTTATAACTCGGCCGTTAATTAATTAATCGCGGATCGAAAACACGCCGTTCTTCTCCCTCCGCCTGTTTTACCCTCTCCCCCGGAGCGCCGGACGGTGGTGGGCTCCCCCATGGTTCGGGACGAACGGCACACGTTTACGTACTACCTACGTACTTAAATCGTGTCGCGGGGAGGAGGAGTCGTCGCCGATAATTAGAAAGTAATCGCGCCGTGGCTTTTCGCGTGCTCGCTCGTCCAGACGGTCCCGGCGGATAGACTATTATCTCCGCAAATTGCCGGATGTGTTACACGATTCTGCGCCCCTGAGCCTCGCCTGTGCCCTTGCGACGTTGATTAATATCGACAAATTCCTCCACGCATTCGTATGATTGCGCTCGTGGCGATATTCCACGGTTATGTTAGTTAACGCTCGTGCCTTCGCCTCTTGACGTGCGACGACGCGCCAAACATAGCATTACGGCGAACGAAGATTGCGCGGCGTCGTGGTTATCACAGGCGCGGCCTTTGATAATATTAAATATTTAATGCCGATCTAATATTCATCCGGTGCTCGCGTTTCTCGCTCCCGTTGGCCTCAGCTTCTGGCACTCGTGAACACCGCAACGAGCCGCGCTGTGATCATCTTCGAAATTGCTAGTCGTCCCCGCTTCGTGCCGAGACGCGAACCGACCGAGTGTGCTGCTCGCTTGTTAGAATGCCTCGAGAAGCACGATCGAGACGATCGTGCCTTCAACAAAGACGTCGCGATATTCGCCGCTCGATTCACGGTACGATTCACAGTAGGCATAACCGACATCTAATGCAACGCATAACGCAATTGCAAGTGTGAGAAGCGCAAAATATCGAAAGATGCGAAAAGAAAAAGAATTTAATTTAATATTAATATACCAAAAAAGATCTCTAATAGACTACACTTAGTAGGTACATTTAAAATGCCATGCAACGCTCTTCTATATTAAAAAAAAAAAAAAATGCATATATAATTTTTGCTTTCTGTACACGAACATGTGCTTAGCGTATCCGCTGCACTCGCGAGGTTTCTGCTCTCTTCTAACCAAAACCATGCATATTTATCGTACCCCGGTTACATTGCATGCAAATTACAGACGACGTTCGGCTCCGCGGCCCGACTCTTCGTTATTCCGTCCCATTGTCTGCCTACATCCTCTCTTCCCGGATAAATGCCGTCCCGACGTGGTTCACGCTGCGTCGCGCTTGTAGGCCCGTCCTGAGTCATCCGTCGAATTTTTTCACCCATTTACCGTCTAAAACCAGCTACGCATACTCGAGACGGTCGCACGTTGAGAAGAGACGAGACGAGACGAGACGAGACAACAGCGGAATAAAGGAGCGTTCGAAAAAGAATATTCGAAGTCGTCGGCCGCTTCATCTTGAAAGCTCTCACCTGAAACTCACGCCCACGTGAGACGAAGCGTGAATGGCTATTATTCCGTCGAGTATCCCGCATTGTCTTTCGTCTTTAAAAATTCTTTGGCCAATTTCTTTGGTTAAAAATTCTTTTCTCAACGAAAGTTTCGAAATTTGCATTTTTTTTTAATATGCAATCGGAACATCGCAAGATCTTGTATTCATCTAGCTTTAAGTCGACTTTACGTCGGTTTCGCTCAAGTGCACATAGAAGTGCAAGTCGCTGTAACACGTGTAATTTTCCTGTTTCGAGAAAGGCAAGACTTGTTTATGAGCTGAGGTCAAAAACTCTTCGCCTCTTAAGGATGCGTGCATCGAAAGTATTAATTGATCGTGAACGTGGTCGTTAATGGATCTCTGGTCGTGAGAAAGAAACGAGATGGCGAGACGATAAATAAGATTAATACTTGCTGCCGCTTTCGCGTTTACAAGTTTCTCCTAAACCGTAGAATATAATAATTTCTAACATTTTTTTCTTACACGGAAAGCTTGCGAGATACGGATAAAACTTTCTCATCTCTCGCAACATTTTTGCAAACATGCCAAGTGACTTTCTTTCTTTAATTATTTTGCATATAATAAGAGATAAAGAATGATGACTTGGCAAAAATTGGACTCGGTGCACGATCGCACTTTACAATACAATGAGTTCTTAGAATGACATCGCATTTAAACGTAACGAATGCGAAAAAAGTTTTGTGTAACCCATAATAATGACGATAAAAATAACCCGTCGCAAGACCCGTTATTTAAATCGGCGAATTTACTACGACCAGGATGACAAACCGCGGAACATACTCGCCTACGACAGGAAAGGTTCAGGATTACGCAAGAGCAACGTCAACACTTTGTTCCCTCCATCGGCGATTTTCTCCGTGAAAGCGAAGCAAATCGATGGCATTGCCGACGTGCCCCCCACGCCCACGTATCTCCGTGTGCGTACATCGAGAGGCAAAGGTGTGCTTTGGAAAGGGCATGTTCGCGTCCATGCGTATAAT